TTGCCAAACAGTGCGGAATGTGATGGTTGTGATAAGAGAGAGCCGATCTGGATAAGCTGATTGCTTCATCAAATAAACGAACAGATTCACTGACTTGTTCATTCACTCATTAATCAATCTCGTCATTGATGAGGCGTGTAGTTTTTCAATACGTAGATGAAAGTGTTACTCGTTAACTCATTTGTAATGGTATTGTGTACGTGCTATTGAGTGTTAACTGAACAATTCTTCTATCGCGTGATTCAAGCATTTCAATAACAATTCATGACTGACATAGTATAGTTGCAGTACAACATGCCTTTCGATTATAGAGCACCAAATATCTGATTTTTAGTGACAATTTTCTTCATTCAGTGATCATGATAATTTACAGTCATGGAAAACTGTTCACCCATTCGTTTTATTGAAGTCATTCATGACTCATGATCAACACTGATTTGGCGATCACTCTGCAGATCAAGATGAAATCTTAGGAAGATCTTGTACTGTTTCATGAGATTCAGAAGATTTCTGGAAATTCTGATACGTTTTGATGGGTATTTCGAGCGAATTCAGATCACTGTTATGTTTCGGATGTTTTTCAGGCACCGCTGGACCTAGGCAATTGTTCGCAACATATCGTTCAATATTTTTATGATGCTGCTATAAACCGATGCAAAAAGTTTTTTTACAGGTTGCGTTTTCATTCTGGTTGATTTTGACGATTTGGTCTGTGAACGACAATCTTTTTGAAGCTATCGATTTGTTGAGTAGACACTATTAATCTCCATAAAACTGTCACAAATCATTCGGATATTGAGAGATTAGTGTTATAAATGCAAATTAAACCGCCTTGAGTAATACGTAAAGCTTAATTGAAGTGGTTGCGGTGGAAATGCAAATCGTTTCGGTAGCCGTGCTCAATGCCGACAGCGCTGTGCTCGTCTTAAAACAACAACACCACGAGCAAAAACAGTTGCATCACACATGAAGAACACTCATGCAAATACCTATTCAGTTACATGTGAGATTTCTTGATGCCAATTTTGCAATCTTCCGATCGCTTCCTTGGAGCACTATCTGAACCAGCAACCACATATGAATGAACAGCTGATTTTATTAGATCGATAGAAACCAGGTCATTGCTAGCTGTTGATTCAGGCTCAGATTAAGGCTCGGTAACTTCAGTGATGTTAAGCGCTAGCATCCACCAGCGACTTTGAAAAAATTAAGGCTCGATAACCATTCGCTAGCGATTTCGAAAATGTCCGTTATTTAAGGAGTAAACGCATGTGTAAAAAATGGTCGTCACCAAAGTGAATCGCTCCGGATTCAGTGTCATTTCGAAAAAAATGAACTAAAAATTTTAGCAATGACTTTTTAGCAAGGATAATTTTAGCATTTTCGCATTGGCCTAGTTGATTGGACAAATCACCATTAGCAAATAAGCGAGACCATGCCGTATAGCCCATAGATTGACAGAGGTCATCCAAGCTGGCATGGCGATCAATTCGCTAAATCCTATTTGTGGTATATGCTATGATTGTGTGATTCTTAAGTTCAGAAAAATTTCAAGGTACTCAAAAGTTTTGAGAGTTGTTCAAAAGTTCAATTTCAAGGTAAAAAAAAATTTCAAGGTACAGATACGTTGAGTTGTTCCATCAACACTCTCTCAGAATCGCTCACATTTCCAGGAAATAGGACACAAATAGTATTTTTGGCTGAAAGTGTTTTTTGAAGATTGTTTATCAGTTATAGCCTCAGCATCTTCAAGTTTTTGCGTGTTTATTCGACTGGTCGGAAGCTTGCTTCGGTTCAAGGGTGTTTCTTGCTGTATATTATTAGCAGTGAGACACAATGCACCTGCTCGTTCCCTGTTTGTCTGCATAATCAGTATTTAGTGATCATCACTGCATTAGACAGCAACATCACTGATTAATCGTTTCGAAGAGAATGCTCACGTAGCACCACGAGTGATTCATCTGGAGCTCATGTATTTCGTCGCATTTGAGACGGTCAAATATCTCTGAGCTGCTTAAGTTTTGCTTGTGATGAGTGATTGCAGTGAATCGCTTTCATGATCAGAACAGGATGCTAGTTCCTGAAAAGAGTTTTATGTCGCCATGAATGAATATGTTTTAAGAGACCGAGACTGTAGACATCTGGAAATGGGGATATGACTTGCTAATGATAATAATAACAATAATAAAAATAAGATTATGTGGATGGTCATATGACATTATTGAGGATAATTATTGAGGATAATAGTTAATAATAGTACTGATAATACATCCAATAGTAGCAATCCCTAACAACAGCAAAATGAATGAACCATTCCCCCTTTATGAGTATAAATGATCACAATGGTGCTATTTGCAGATCACCGAAAGCGTAGTAATGAATGTTCGCAATGCGATCCGAAGTATGGAGTTTGTGCTAACGGGCGATGTCGATGTGTGAAAGGTTTCGCAGGTGATGGCAAAAAATGTGAAGGTGAGTCTTAAGCTGTAACTGGCTTAGTGGGCCTGGGATCGAAATGGAGATTCGATCCGTAAGGAACGCTCCAAACATGATCAATTTAAAGGAATTCTGACAATTCCGTGTTACGCCTTGCTTTCGTCTATAGAAAAGAGAGATGAATACAACTTTCTAACCATATCACTGGATAACTCTAATATATTCATTGTTTTAACTAATTTATGTTACAGCCTAAAATGAGGAAAATTCTCAAACTCCCAATAATTTCAATTCCTCTTATTCGTGGCTGAATCTGAGCAATTTTCCACATCCAATCTCACATTCGTTCCATTTTCACTGAAAAACCAACAAATGCAACTGAAAGATACAATCTGAAATCAACAAGATTGATTGACAGAAACAATTTCATTGGCATATTTAATGAATCCTTAAAATAGCTTAAGAAATGAAATGAAAAAACAAAATGAAGACATTTTCTAGTGCTGCTTTTATTTTTTTTTGTTTTGTTTTCCTATTTCACTTGTTTTTTCATTTCGAGTCGTCGTTTCGTTTTCAACAATCAGTCAAATTACTGCTCTATCACGTTTTTTTCGAGCAAACAAAAACAGAACGTCTTACGCCAGTAAAAAATCGCGTATTTACGTTTACTAGGATAAAAACCAACATTGTGTTGATAGGAAATACGGATTAAAATAAGAGAAGAAAGACAGGAACGTCATTTTTTCACTACGAATTCTTATCGGTGAATCGAATCCATTGTGTTGTTGATTTTGTTTTGTTTTATCGTCTTTGTTACATAAGTTCTGACTCAGATGAAAAATTATCTTTTCGAAGAATTGTAAGCAAAAGATTCATTCATTCTCACAGCATGAGAACGGGGAAGGAGAAAAGACAAGTGAGGAACCTCCAAAAGCACGAAAGGACTATCATTTGAAAGGCTTATTATCATCCTAATCATCTTACCTTTTGAGTGGCAACAATTTTTCAAATTCTGTTTTGTATTCGTTAATTAGCTGTTGTAATTTTTTGTATGTGAATTGTGTTTTAATTCTGTTTTCATATGATCGTGCGTATGATTCATTCTAGCTGCAATGATTTCTTGTTAGTTGTGTTTTGTCAGTGAAGTCAAGTCTTTGTTAATTGATGACAAATTGCTTCGAGAATCATTTATAAGTGAGAAATTGTTGCTCGAAAAGCAATTGAGAAGGTTTTTTTCGTTGTGTTGATCGATGAGACTTCCCATCAGTCTCATCAATATTTTCTCGTCATTAATTAATGCATGATTCAGCGGTTCGCTTCAATTTTATACATTGATTTCAATGATTGGACTCATTTATGAGCTGTTCCATTATCTGAGCACACAATCTTACCAGTTTTGAAGCGATCATGGCATTTATTTAGACTATTTTCTCATGGAAATCCGTCTNGACAGATCTAAGGTCTCACTGAAATTTAATGTATCGCTCGCTATTAACATGGTATTAGCCTAAACAAAAGCAATTAATAATTCCGCTATACTAAAGCTACACTTACCAATATAAGTCAATTGTGCTACCTAATTATATTTATATCAAGCGTAAAGCTCTATTATCTACCAGCTGACTTACATTTCAACTAACAACAATTTAAGATATAAACGAATGTACAGAAGATGTGAAAAGATGTTCAGCGAATGCATTTTGCATCAATACAATTGGATCGTTCCGATGCGAATGTCAACTGGGTTATGCAGGGAGCGGCTGGAATTGTACGAAAAGTTCAGGTCAACACCATCAACTTTCAGGAATTCACTTCTTCAGAAACTCAGTTCAGAGCCTCAGCCTTAAGAGAGAAATCAGCAATAATTGCACGAAACTGAGTCAACGTTGATCATTCTCTATGAGCTGACCTTCTCTAGATCGAATTAATGGCTCATATCACATTTTTACCGCTTGAATCTACCCAGAATTTGTTCATTCCGCTGTTGTAATCACTATGTTGTAACGTTTACCGTGTGCTTTTGTAAAAAAGGATTAATTGCTTCGCTAACATCAGAGTACTAACATATAACATGGAGTTAACGGCTATCACAAGATTAAGCTTAATAATATAATCATATAGTCTTACAAAGTTTCTTCGAATCAATTAAGCAGCCGAATTCAGCGCGTGATAAGCTGGACTTAAAGATAAGTACGAGAACCATGAATTTTGGATTTCAAAGCAATTTAACTTTTGGAACTAAACTAAGTTCGGTCATACTTTACAGGTTCGTATAAATTGCAGTTGGTCTTGGAGTCATCTGCTGTAACGTTTCAGATATTTGCTCACAAAAATTTGATCGACGTTATGAAGCTCAATGTTCTCAAAGTGGTGAATGGGAGATCCGATATTATTTTGACGCGGCCTCGTCGTCTTGTCGGAGATTCTGGTACGGTGGGTGCACAAGCGCGAATCAGAACATTTTCGCAGATGCTCAGGTCACCTTCGAGCCAGTCTATTCGCTAAATAACTTTTCAGTTATCGTTTATGAGCTTGTACTTGGCATAATGCTGTGGTTCCCACATTCGGGTGATCCATTACCCTTTTTGATGATCTGACA